GATGAACTGAGATGAGAACAGGTCTGGTGTGTGAGAGGCCATCACAGTTGACCTGAGAGGGGGTTGGGTGACAGCCAGAACAAGTCCAGTAACACACATGGAGGACCCTTTGCCTGTGGACCAACCACGCACATCCTGGTAAACAGTAGAGGATTTCCTGCACTTGGACATTGTCACACGTGTGGTCCTGTCCTCAGGTTGGCCATTTGACCATTCCTGAGTCCAGCAGTGGGGACTAGCTTGGGATATGCGGGAGGCTCAGAGAGAGTGCTGAAGGGACAGACATGATGGATCCAAGTCTTCAGAGGTACCTCCTGGAATTTCTTCCAAGGATTCCTTGGCTTCGGGGTCCAACACACCCTATCCTGTGGTAGCCCAAGTGGAGATTCTGAACCTGACTGTCATCGCTCCGGGATTCAAATAGAGATGCCTCCAAGAAATTTCCATGCCCTGCTCCAGGCACAAGGGCCACCTGCAGAGTACAGTTTCTGGAGGTGGGAGCTGCAGCTGTGTGGACAGCCTTGGTGTGGTGCTTTGCCTTCAGGTCACCTGCACCCTCTTGACGCCCTTTGTGGGCACTGGCCACTTTATCTGGAGCCCAGCTGTGGGAGGCATCACCTGGAAATTTTTGAAGTCCCCATTGAGAGTTAGGGGCTGGAGTGGGACCGTCCCATGAGGGCTGGGTAGAGGTCCGAGAGCTACGCAGAGGTCCTTTGCAGGGTACAGTCACTGAAGACACATCCAAGGAATTTCCTGAAATCTCACTTTGGGTACCTGAGCCAGATCCTGTTTGCATGGGTAGTCAGGAAGGACACTTCTTGGTAAGAAATACAGCCTGCAATGGACTTGGAGGAGGCTGGGTATTGGTAGCAGGAGGTATGCATCTGCTGTCCAGTAATCCAGATTCTTCATGACACTGTCACATGGGTTGTTAGACACTACCTAACAACAATTTCAGGCCACTTTTATGGCTTTCCAGGAAGCCAAGCAGATGGCTCGAGGGAGCAGCGTTAAATGAGCCATGAAAGTAAATGATTAAAGCTGAGATTTACAGAGATGAGGAGTGGCCTGAAGTTTATCATTCATCATGATTTAGAATAACTGATGTATATGCACAAGGAGTGTCTGACTAAAGAGAACAAAGGATTGATTTCAGTCACAGGAATTTTCTAAAGTCACTTGGAGCCCAGATGACTTACTGTGCTCAGAACAGCAATCGGAGTGAAAAAGAATATAGAAGCGGCCACCAGGAGGCGCCCAATAAGCGGGAACGTCCTCTGTACTGATGGGGCGCCCCGCGCCACAGCGCAACTGAGGGTCTTGGGCTGCCTCAGCTCCCATTTCGTCGCCCCACGTGTGTGAGGGCATCTGCCTCAGAGTTCCGGGAAGCATGGCCTGGAAGACACCATCCTGGCCACAGAAGGGGCAGCTGCGGGGAAGAGAACAAACACTCTCCACACAACACCTGGGTCTGTGCATGCAATGGAGAGAGTCTAGAGGTTCGTGCCAAAGGAAGAGTGGACAGGACTTAGTCCCAAGTCGTTTATGACATGGGAATACAGGAGGAGGAAACTCTCTCGGAATCTGGATGGATCCACTAGGTAGACAGTGAGGCTGGGTCACAGCATGTGGAGGGAAAAGGAGACCAAGATTTTAGGGTTGGGTGATTCTGAATATGTCCAGTACACGAGGCCTCTGTCTTAATCCATTTTCTGTTGTTATAGCAAAATACCTGAAGCTGGGTAATTTGCAAAGTAGAGGGGTTTACTGACTAGCTTAGAGTCGAGAAAGTACAAGAGCATAGTCCCTGCCTCTGCCCAGCTCTGGACAGGGCCTTATGGTGAAATAGCAGCCAGGTGAAAGATTGTACCACAGAGCTTTCATGCAGGGGAGGGGAAGGGCCAGGTTTTGCTATTTATAATCCCCTCTTGCAGGAGCTGATCCAGTGCCAGCAGACCTGACCCCCTTTCAGGAGAGAGCGTTAACTCTTTCACGAGAGTGGAGCTTTCATGACCTCATTGCCTTCTACAAACTTGTACATCTTCCAGTTTGACTTCTGCCATTGACATCTAACTTCATACTGATGTGGTCAGAGGAGATACTTTGCATACCTCTCTTTATAAATCCACTCAGACCTGATTTGTGACTAGCAGGGGGTCTAGCTTTCCACTGGCCAAGTGTCCTGAGAAAAATGTGTATCCTGTCCATTGTGTAGAATACTATGTACATGTCTGTTAGGCCAGATTAGTTCATTGTGCTGCTTAGGTGCTCTGTTTCCTTACATCCCTTGCTCTGGTGGTTCTATCCATTATTTTTAAATTTTTATTTTATTTTATTAGTACATGTTTGTGGTACATCATGAATACATTCATTATGGGTAGTTGGTACATGTACAAAACATATCTTATTTGTTTTTATGCCCCCCCATCTCTGGTCCATTTCCCATTTGCCAAAGATCTATCTTCCTATTTCCTATTGTCAGCAGAACATGGCACCCACCTGTAATCCCAGCACTTGGGAGGCTGAGGCAAGGGGATTCCTTTGAGTTCGAGGCCAGCTTGGGCTACATAGTGAGTTCAAGGCCAGGCTGAACTACACAGTGAAACCCTGTCTCAAAAAAACAGAACAAAACAAAAATTAAAAAAACCTGAAAAGAACCTCCCTGGGATTTGGTGTCCTGATGTTGGAATATAGTGATGTGAGGAGGAAAAGGAAGAGGGAAGTGGTCCCCAAGACCCAGGAAGGATCTGAAACAAGTTCTCCACAGGGAGAGTGAAGAGAGAGACTTCAACAAAAAAGAGGAAAGTGGCAGGTGGCACTTTGTCCCAGAGTTGGAATGAGAGCAGGTTGAGCCTGCAGATGCCTGGTGACTACTGGCAACCCCAGAAGCCTCCATCAAGAAATGCACCAGTGGAACAGAGCAGTGGACACAGCAGACTGCAGCGGCTGGTGAGTTAGTGTTCAGACCTCACCAAGGAGAGGGTGATTGGGTGGTAGCCATCTTGGAGAGGGGCCAACTGAGCTTGGAAATCAAAACAGCTACAGGCTGGCTTCATCTAGTGGCTCCTGGTGTCGAGGTGAGGGTACTTTGAGTCAGCAGGAGGCCAGGGAGCAGAATTCAAGCTGGCAGGAGGCACATCAAGTGTGGCAGACTCAACAAATCCAGTCCCAGCCTCATAGCCATAAACCAGCCTGAACTTTAGTGGAACTAAAGGTCCAGTCTTGCTGGGATTATCCACCACTCCACCTAAATCAACAGCTGGCTTGCTGGGATTAAACAACTTGGATCTGGACTCTGTCTGCCCACATTGTCTACCAATGACAGCAGAGACACACTTTGAATCTGACTTTTTTTTCTTTTTTCCCCCTTATTTTCTTCTTTTTTCTTTTCTGCTCCTTTTTTTTTGGTGCTAGGGGTCAAACTCGGGACCTTGTGCTTTTGAGGTGGGTGGCAGCACCACTGAGCTAAATCCCCGGCCCTTCTTTTTTCTTTTCTTTTCCTCTTGTCTGGTTTTTGTTTTTGTTCTGCTTTATTTTTTCTTGATTGTTTGCTCTTGTTTTTACATGAATGTGAACATGGTTTCTAGTTTTGTTGTGGTTGTTCAGTTCTGTTCTTATTTCTTCCATCTCTTTCCCTCCTGTCTTCACCAGTTTCCCAAAGTTTGTATGACCTTCCTTTGTCCTTGAGCCTTGCTTCTAAACTTTTATTTCCCTATTTCCTATTGTCTATCCTTTATTTTGCTGCCTGATTTATTTATACTCTGGGTTTCTCATAGAAGAGAAACCTTATGATTTTTAAGCTTCTGTGTCTGATTTATTTCATTTAACATTATGATCTCAAGATTCATCCATTTTCCTACAAATAACTCAAGTTTATCCTTTATGGCAGAGTAGTACTCCATTGTATATAAATATCCATTATTGAAAGTGGGGTGTGAAGGCCTCCAACTATTATTGTAGAATTGAGGGTTCTTCCTTTAGGTCATTTTTTGCTAATAACATGGTATGTAATTAGATGCCTAAATATTTATAATTGTATATCTTCTTGTGCTAGTAAACCTTTCATTTATATATATAAATCTAAATATACAGATATAAATATGTATCTCTCTATATATCTTTTTCTCTTTAATTTTTAAATTTAAAGTCCATTTTATCTGGAATTAGTATAGTGACTACATCTCTGTTTTGGTTAGATGGCATGGAATATATTTTTCTATCCTTTCACTTTCAAACTATTTATGTCTCTGCATTTAAAACTAATCTCTTGTAGACAGCATGTGGTGAGATTGTATTTATATCCATTCTATGAATCTCTTTTAATTGGATATTTTAATCCACTCACTTTAAAAGTAATTAGGATGAAAGATGACAGAATAGAAATTTCCAGCCACCCATGGATGATGATAACTTTGCAGGAGCTCCAGAAGCTAGCTAAGAGGTTCCAGCATCCTACTGGGAAAAAAAAATCTGAAAAGGTAAGAGCAGGTTCACTTTCCCTGCACCACCTCTTCCTGAGAGTGGCACAGCTTGGTGCCAAGAGAGACACCCCTGGCCCAAGATCTCTCCCATGGGGGAAGTTGAGAGAGACAAGGGTGCTCAGCTTTCTCAGCCTTGCAGAGTGCTGCCCAGGAAATCCATTCCTGTCTCCACCTACCTGTAATGAGGTGATCTGCACAGTGAAATGTCTGGGATAGCTAGGAGCAGGCACAAAGGGCCAGAGAACTTAGCAGCTGACACTCAGCTCTCAGCTAACCATAGATCCTGCTAACTTCTCAGGGTCTCCACCAAGAGGCCTGTTGATGAGCCTTGCATGATGACTAGGTGCAGCCACCCCCGAATAACCAGTGCATCCCCAGCACTCTGCACATTACCTGTGGGCACAGCTGGTATGAGCTCCCACAAACAACACACAGATCTCTACAGTAGGTGCAGATCTTAACAGCTGCATCAAACACTTCATAAAAATATGAGATATGATTAAAAAAAACTATGGTGAATGAATTTTTAAAATTTTATTATAGTAAAAGACACATTGCCATTAATCCCCCTCAAAACACACCCTCTTGCTTCAAACACCTTTATCCCATTGTTCCTGCCACTTTCTGAAGCAGTTCTGGAAGCCTTCTTTCATGAGTGTCTGTAGGAGCATTGTTGTGGCTGCCTCAAGGTTCAGAATCAATTCAAACTTTTACCTCTCATGATCATTTTGACTTTGAAGAAGAGCCAGAAGTTACTGGTGCCATATCCAGTGAATGAGGTGGGCAGGGACACACGATAATGTTTTTACAAGCCTGCCTTTCTGTTGAATGGCACTTGGCAGCAATATTCACCACCCAGCCCTTTGTGTTTCTTGTCAGCCAGGTCTAATAGCAATAAACTCCTTCAGCTTTTGTTTACCTAGGAATGTCTTAATTTCTCCATTTCTGAATAACAATTTTGCTGGATTCTTGATTGGCAGGGTTTTTGTTTCTTTTCTTTTTTAGCACTTTAAGTGCTATCATCCCAGTACTTTCTGGACTGCAGGGTTCCTGCTGAGATATCCACTGATAATCTTGTAGAAGCTTCTTTGTATGTGATGAGTCACTTTGCACTTGCTGCTTTCAAAATTCTCTGTACTTAATGCCGCTGAATTGTACACCTAAAAGTGGTTAAAGCATTTGTTCCATATTTTATCGCAACTTAAAACTCAAATAAACTGTGTCATATAAGAATGTTTTACATATATTATATGCTGGAAAGCATTCTCAGAGATTATGCTGTTTTCAGTAACTTATCCACCTGCTTTTGGTAAATACAGTTTAAACAAGTATCAACAAACAAAATACTACACAGTGTTCAACAAAGTCTTTAACAGACATAATAATATGCTTAGTTACTCATGCACCAACCTCTGTTAAACACAGATTTAAAATATATCCCAAAAGTATGTATTACACGCACCACACACAGCTAAATACAGTGTTTCACTGAAATAACACTAGGACCTAAGTAGATCTGATAAACTAACAGGTATCACTGAAAAATACACTACAGGAGATATGCAAAACTTAACACAGTATTTCCTAAGGTTAACATTATACTAAGGCAAACTTATACCCAGCTCTGTTAAACACAGGGTTTAAACATGGAACACCAAAGAATGCAGTACCTGCGCCACCCACTGTACAAAACAGGGTTCACAGAAAAATGAGGCTAAGTCACTCACAATCCTACCCCTAATAAACACAGAGATTAAATATGTGTTAGAGAAGACTGTTAGATGAAGACTGCTAAACACTGATTTCCAGAGATAGTGTAAGACTTCTTCACTAACGTGCCTAATGCTGTTAAACATAACAGCTAAATATACATTGCAGAAGAATACAGCACACCAGCCTCATACTTTTTATTAGTACACATTTGCAGTATATAATGATTACATTCCTTGTGTGGAGTTGGTACAGGTACACAACACATCTTAATTCTTTTTTCATCCCTTTCCCTTCTCTCCCCTGTCTCTTGATCCCCTCCCTACTTCCTATTATTTATCTTTTATTTTGCTCCCTATTTATATTTTGGGGTTTTCATATGAGAGAAACCATGCGATATTTACGTGTGTATGTCTGATTTATTTCACTTAACATTATGGTCTCAAGATGCATCCATTTTCTTATAAATGACTCGAAAGTTTATTCTCCTTAATGGCAGAGTAGCACTCTAGTGTGAGTAAATACAACATTTTCTTTATTCATTCATCTATTAATGGACATATAACCAGCCTTGTACTGTATTTCTAAACGCAGTGCTTCACAGATGTAGCATTATCCTCACTTAATCATAGACTCCAGTGTACCTCTGTTAAATAGGTAAGGATCACAGGTTTGAGACCAGCCTGGGCTACATAGTGAGAAACTGTCTGAGAGAGAAAGACAGAGAATCAATGAACAATAAACCATACACTATATACACTATATATGACTAAACACAGTGGTTCATAGAGTTAACATGACATTCACTCATTCATGAACCCAGCTCTTAATAGATTAGCCATATATATGTGACATAAATGCAATTTGTGTATGCGATCCTCTCTTGACATTTGATATTTCATATAATACAGTGACAAAATGTGACTGTTGTCTTCACATTCCCATTAGCCCTCATTTTCTATCACTTTTTACATGACATCATAATGCTACTCAGTTCTGCATCACCCTGTCTGCGTCTGTCACGTGATATCACATGTGAAAAAATGACCTAACATGAGTAATGACTGCATCTATCTTGCTTGTGGTAAGATATCTCATATGACACTGGGACTAACATAGACCCGAGTCAGGGCGCATACCTCTCAGCTGTATGTCTTAATATATTGCTCAGTGGCAGAATGTTTCTTAGGTCTGCATCCCATCTCTTTTCTTTTGCATGACATTACATGTCATGTAGGATAAGAACACAAAATCTGACATGCTTGAGTCACTATGCCTTGTATAACAGCTGAGGGGGAGGGACACATTCCTTATTCCTATTATGTCAGTCTAACAGGTCATATAGCAGCCAAGGACAAGGTTGAAACCGTAAAACAGTATGTTACAATATCACAGAGGTGCCACGTCATCCCTATGACATATTGTAGCTCATCATATGTCACCTCAGGACTGTCCTATAATATGTGACAAAGTGAAAAAATGTAACTCATCTGCCTTCCTGCTGCTGGCTCTCTGAAGGTATGCTATATGACACAGCAACATAAGGCACAATTTAGTTCTCTGTTCCCTTCTGAGTCACTCTATGATATTATATGTGACATCATGACATAATGTGACGTGGTCTCCACCCTTTCTCTTGGCTATATTTTCCACGAATGGTGACATATGACAGAGGTCTGTGTCTCCATTGGTGTCATATGTGGCATGGTGCCATGATGAACCGCAGATCTTCATCCCGTTTCCCACCTGTCACAGGAAATCATGTTACATGGCAGGCTTATCAGATGCTGCACCTCCTTTTTGTTTGCTTATAGTTTTTGGAGAGTCCATCCAAGACTGGTAGAGCTATTGCTTTGGGAATTTGATGGAGACTCCGGCAGGAGGTATATGGAAGAACAAACTGCTGCCATAATTACCAGAAAACAAAGAGGAAAAGGCCAAAGGTCTCACAGTCTTCTTCAAGGGCAAATCCTCAATGACCTAAGAATCTCTCACAGGGCCCCACTCCCACTGAACCAAAACTTTAACACATGGACTTTGGGGGACATTTAATACCTAAACCACAGGGAAGGCTAACAGTTTTTCTTGAGCAAGTTCAGGGACTGTTCCCTGAGCGTCAGCCCACACAGTGCCTATGTGGGTTCATTCTGTGCATCAGCCTAATTGGGTCTTAGGGTGCTCAGATTCAACACTACTTTAGGGTGTGTCTGTTAGTGTGTATTGATCTGTTTTCAGTTGCTATTAATGAAGAAAAGAGGTTTATTTAGTTCACAGTTTTGGAGGCTGAGAGTCCAAGATTGGATAGCCCCATCTACTCAGCCACTTGTGAGGACATCGTGGTGAAGTGTACCATGGCAGGAGCACATCCAAGAAGGAGTTCATGGCAAGACAGGAGGCAGGAGAGGGACACAGGGTCCAGTCTTGCTCCTTTATATCAACTCCCTCATGAAAATGAGTGAGGTACTCTGCAAGACTTGTGCCTTCAATGACCTAATAATCCCCCATTGATAGCCGCCTCTTCAAGGTCCTCCCTCCCACATCCCACATCCCCACACTGAGGACCATGCCCCCAACACATGAACCTTTGGGGGACACATTCAAACCATTTCCCCACCACAGCAGAAGGTATTTCCAAATGATGCTAGTATTTCAATCCATAAACTATTGCCCTCCCAGATATCTGTAGAGGCCCGAATAGAACAAAAGGTGGAGGAAGGAGGAATTCACCTCCTTTATTTTTCTGCTTCACTGCTCAAGCTGGACCTCTCATCTCCTTGACATTTTATTCTGTCATGCTCTGTCCCCTCAGGCTGGAATTTACACCAGGGTGCCCTAGTTTCAGGCCTGAGGGGTGGCGTGAAGGTGTTGGATCTCCCAGCAGAGCACAGGCCTGGGTAAGGTGGTCAAGGTCCTCCTGTCTCCACCCCAAATTGTTCATGGTGAACACCAGGGCTGGCCAGGACCTTCAAGTGTGTGGTCCACACATGGCCTGATGAAGAGAATCTCTTCTTTGGGGAACGCCTGGTGTAATAGCCAGGCCCACATGGTCATACAGTCTCCTGTCCTCTGCTTTACCTGCAGGTCACTTCCCTTGGCCTGTGTCCCATCCTCCATTCTGGAAACTTACTGGTCAGCAGATGAAGTTTCCCAAAAGCTATCTCTGGAGCCAAGAGAATCTTAATTGTCCCTAACAGTCTGATGCTAACTGAACAAACTGGTCAATGTGCCTACAGTGACTATTAATGGACTGAATTGCCCTCCACTTCCCATTCATATGTTAAAGTCCCAATGCCCAGTACCTCAGAATGTGACTTGGGGGGTGCGGTGGGACAGGGTCTTGGTATGCAGTTCAGGTTGGCCTTGAACTCACAGTGATCCTCCTGCCTCAGCCTCCCAAATGCTGGGACTACAGGTGTGCACCACCATGCCCAGCTAGAGTTAGGTTCTGTATAGAGGTAATAAAGTTAAAATAAAATCATTAGGATGGGCCCTAATCCCACCCTGTAACTGGTGTCCTTATACACAGAAGGATGACCTTGTGACATAGAAAAGATGGCTGTCTAGAATTCAAGGAAATGCCTCAGAAGAAACCAGTGCTGGGCACACCTTGCTCTTGGATTTCCAGTATCCAGAAGTGTGAGGAAAATAAATTTCTGCTAAGATGTTCAGTCTGTGGTATGTTGTCATGGCAGCCTGAACAGACTAATACAGTGACTGACTCATCATCTGGTTGTGTGTTTTTCATTATGAACCTAGGTTGGGAGCTGGGCATATTGACAGTACTTGTAATCCCAGCTGTTCAGAAAGCGGAGGCAAGATGATCACAAGTTCCAAGCAAGCCTACTAAGCAAGACCGTGTCTCAAAATAAGAAATAATAATACAGCAAAAGAGGCTAGGGATGCAGTTTAATGGTAGGAGTCCTTGTCTAGCATAAGGGAGATCCTGGGTTCAATCCCAGTATCACAGAAATAAGTGAACGAAAAAACCCAGGCCGGGGTTGTAGCGGCCCTGGGATGATACAGCTTCTCCTCCTATTGATGGGGTCTTATCAGAGAACAGAAACCCATCTGATGAGGCCAGTGTCCCACTGTGGACATGAAGATCCTGATCCTTTGCAACAGGTCCTGCCTGGTCTTTACAAGGCCTTCGTCCATGCTCATGTCCTTGGCACAGTGGTCATGGTCAGGCTGGCTTGGAGCATGGGGTTGGTCATCAGGCACCCGACTGACGTCCACTCCTCATTCAGCGCAGTGTACAACTCACTAGCCAGAGGACCAATCCCCAAGCCTCAAGGCCTTTGCCTAAGCCCATCTAAATCTTTTCTCCTCTCTTTCTGGCTCTTAAGTGTGGGGCTCAAAAAATTTCTATTTGATTAATTGCCCCTGCTCCAGTACTTTGTTCACGTTTACCACTCCTAGTCAGGAGAAATCTCATTTTCCAAGGGATGCAGAGAGTGAGCATCAATCGTGGAAGGTATTTCTCAGCTTCACGGGGTCCTCTGTTTTACCTCTAACTCATCTGTGTGGCTGTGTGTGGGGGGGTCCTCTGAGACAACAGTAGAGGTCCACCTGGCCCCTCATCACTAAACACATGAAAAACTAGGTCCACGGCTACCTCCAGGGCTCTGTTCCAGGCCCAGCTGGCTTTCCTGCAGGGTCTCACTTATCTTTCATCCACATCATCTAGACTATGCCCAGGGGCCCATGCAGACCCTGTCTTCTAATGCTGGTCCCCACCAAAGCTACATTTGTCAAGCACATGGAAGAGATGCCAAGCCAAGGCCTGATTTGACCAACTTGTAAAGAAATGAGCCAGAGAATTTATTTACATAGTGGAAGGATGTAACCTTCTCACAAGCCAAAAGGAAGCAAAAAAGGCTGAACAGTGTGAGTCAGGGGATGCTGTGGATGAGAAGCTCATCTGAGGAGCAACTGAGTGGCTTCCTCTCCAGCTCTGTTCTGAGGGACCAAGACAGGGAATCTCACAGAACCAGGGAGGTAGATGATAGGAAACTGTCTCAGGAGACAGACACAGTTAGGGGACCCTGGGGCAGCCTGGTGTTCTGGGCAGAGCAGCCATCTAGCCAAGACCTGAATCAGCTGTGAGTCATGCCTTCTGCTGGCCTATGAGGATACAGGTGAAGGAAGGATGCTGCTGGGCTGGGGGACCTAGAGCAGGTCAGATAAGGTGGTGGCAGATGGCCTTCCTGCACCAGCTGCCAGGCAAAGATGAGAGGTGTCCAAAGCCAGGCCTGGACCCCTCCTGCAGCAGTTCATGGTCCCCAGCCACTCGGCTGACCCACAACCTGGAGGAGCTAGAGGTGATATCCAGCAGCCACCCAAATCCTTATTGCACAGGGCTGCCTGTACATATCCCAGGCTTCATGTGGTCTCTGAGGACACACGTTCTACTAAGCCCTTTCTCTTTCTTTTTTTTAATGAAGAGCCACACACAGATGAATAGTGAACCCAGGTGGAACATACTCAGTCAGGTGTCCTCATTCAGCTGCCGGTCACACTCCTCCCGTCCCTATCCCGAGACCCAGCACCAGCTCGTCTCTGCAGCCAAGCTACTCACTACAGGCCTGGCTCTCACAAACTTACCTCACTTCCAGCCCAGGGTTTGGCCCTCCCTACATACTCCATGAGATAGTGGAGGACGGAGTGCCAACCATGACCAGGGATGAGGAAACAGATCCTGGAGAAAACTGGAGGCCCTTCTGAGCCCTCTAGTGCTCTCAGGACAAGACCCTAGGAGCCGCTGTAAAGTACAGCCCCCCTAGCATTCTCTCATCCTCAGCCCATGCAGCTCGCCCTACTGGAAGGCTTTTACAAGTGCCATTTTTCTCCCAGCAGAAGATACTTTGGTACCAGTCAGCTAGAAGCCCCTCAAGGGTGGGACCCTCGGTGGCCAGGACAGCAGCTGGCAGCACAGTAGCTGAGGAGCGCAGTCCGTATTCAGGCTTGGGGTGAGCAGCACCAATCAATCATGGGAGCTGCAGGTGGAGCGTGAAGTCTCCCACTGTGGTGGTCCGATAGCTCCAGCGTCCTTTATCAGTCTTAACCCCAGCCCGGGGTGAGAGGTGAAGACAGACCTCGCGTCCACCCACTGCTTGGCCTTAGATGGAGCACGAGGCCAAGATGCCTCGGACAGTGGTCCTTGACCTGTGGGACCGCGGGCGGAGAAAGATAGTGCGCAGCTCCCAAGGGCGCGTGTTCCAGAGACTGGGACTGGGCCTCAGTCCGTGGACTCTGCGAGAGGAACGAGATTCTCAAAGTACCGGGACGCAGAGGGGCTGGAGATTCGCCTCTAAAATTTCGAGGACCAGGGTGCAGGATTACTGGCGGGGCAAGGAGAACCCCCTTACAATTTCCTTAAGCACCTCCGCGGAGGGCCGGAGGGAGCCTCAGTCTAGACGACGCAAGGGGCGGGGCATGCCGGGCGCAGGACGTCGCGCCCAAGTCTGACGTAGAAGGCAGGGCGAGTCTCGTTATGGACTGCACCACGCCGCGCCCAAGACTGACGTAAGGGGGCGAGGCGTGCGTCGCCGCGGCCCGCTGCTGGTAGATGAAAGCCTCCATGGAGCGCTATGCCAGCGCACTGGAGGAGTCTCCGGATGGCACCCGGCAGCAAGAGCGGCACTACCAGCTGCTGTCGGCGCTGCAGAGCCTGGTGAAAGAACTTCCCAGGTGTGCGGCCTCGGGCTGGGCCGGGCGGAGCGGGTAGGGCTGGGCGGGCGCGGAGGCGGCCGCGTCCCGCCCGGGCTCACCGTGCGCCTTTGCCCGCAGTTCTTTCCAGCAGCGCCTGTCTTACACCACACTCAGTGACCTGGCGCTGGCGCTTCTCGACGGCACTGTGTTCGAGATCGTGCAAGGACTGCTGGAGATCCAGCACCTCACCGAGAAGAGCCTGTACAACCAGCGCCTGCGGCTGCAGAACGAGCACAGAGGTGCGCGGAGGCGGTGGGACGGCGGCGCACGCTGCTCCCAGGGCTCAACCCTTGTTCTCTGTGCGGTCAGGCCCTTCCCTAGGCGCCCCTCGCAAGAGAACCCTCAAATGGACCAGATCAAGGGTGCACCGTCTACGATAGAGCTTTCTTGGTAACCAGTGAGTCGAGCACTGCCCTCTCCTTAGCGTGACATCCAGATACCCCTGCTGAGGCTTCCCTGTACCCCACTGTCTGCTGGGCAGGACGGCCCGAGGGCTTTGTGCTTAGTCCGCCCACGGGCACACCCTCGTGGAGGCTGTTGAGCACTGATACCCCGCATGGATGAATGACTTGCTGCTCTATAGCACCTTTTAGGGTCAGCTCCCTCTGGGCAGCGCAGACACCACACCAGCTGAGCTGGGGATTCCTGAGCACTTTTCCTTGTAGCATTTTCTGCAGCCCTGAAGGCTTCTCTTTAGGACTTGGTCCCTCCCATGTATCCCCACTGAGAGAGAGGGGTTGGGCGCCCCTTCCTGTAATGTGTACTAGGCAGTTACCTCTGCACTACCACCAGATTTCCACCTTGCTATTTTATTTTCTACCAGCTTTTGTTGTTGTTTTGTTTTGTTTGTGTACCACTGAACTATAATTTAATTTTGATCTTCCTGCCTCAGCCTCCTGAGTAGCTGGGATTATGGGCCTTTGCTACTATGCCCATTTTCTCCCAACTTTGTCTTGTAAATTCAAACGTTCAGAAAAGCTGAAAGACCATCCTGATGCTGTCCACTTACATTCAATAATATTTGGCTGTAGTTTTTATATATGATGCTATAGCACTTCAGCAGGACTCTTCACCAGGAGTCCTCAGTATCCTTCGGAACCAAAATTTCAGCCGAACACTGTTGACATTTGGAGCCGAATAAGTGTTTATGGTGAGAGATTGTCCTGGGCATCACAGGAAGACATTGGCATCCTCCTCTTGGCATGACAACCAAACCCATCTCCAGACAACCCTGCAGGTCAGCCTTGGCCAGGGATTGAGAACCAGTGCCCTGGGACAAGAACACTATTACACAACCACAGTGAACTTTTCCAGACTGTTGTGGTCACATTACTTAATGTGTTTCAAATTGTCACTTTATAATTAGGGGTCCAGGCCAGGTTCATGCACTGCAACTGATTATTTTGGTGTTTGCTTGTGGAACCATTCCTAACATTTACAATGGCATTGACTTCGCAGAGTTCAGTACATTCTACTTGTAGAATGTGCCTGCTCTGCATCTATCAGATTACTTCCTCATGCTGTCATTTAACATTTGTCTTGACGCTGTTTCCTGTAAACTGGACAGGAAACAAGGCCTTCAGATGCAGGGTAACTGTGGCAAAAATTTCTTCTAGCAATGCAAGTTCCCTCCCTCACAAGGGCAGGTGATGTCCATATGCCACAAGGTTAATGTTTTTCTATTGGGATGAATGTTGGATTTTATAAAATTCTTTTTCTGTGTCTGTGGAGATGATGTCATTTTTCTGTTACTATGGTGAGTTACATTGACTTGTGAATTCCTGGGGTGAATTGCATCCTGGAGATAAATCTCAGTTATGATGTATTATCCTATTTATATATGTTGGATTTGATTTACTAAAATCATGTTAAGAATCTTTGCCTCTATGTTCATGGCAGACATTGGTGTGTAGTTTTCTTGTAATATTTTTGTTTAGTTCAGGTATAAGGATAATGCTGGTCTCATAGGACATGTTGAGAAGTGTTTTCAGTTTCTAGACGTTCATACAGTTAGTATTACTTCTTCCCTCAGTGTTTAGGCAATTGTCTTTTTTAGACATTTTGAGGTAGAATAGGCATATAGTCCACAAATCTGAAGTACACAACTCTTTCTTCTTCAAGTCCAAACTTCTGTGTTTCACCCAGGGTGACTTTCAGGCTTCCTCTGATGTGTCATCAGTCTTCCAGCACTTGCTTTCTGGTTCAGGAAGGTGTTCAGGCTCATCTTGTGCTTTCCATGCATCAGTCCTGGAATAGGCCATTTCTCCAGAGCCCTTTTAGCAGGGCAATGTTTGGTAACTCTGGACCCTTTGCTAATTGGCCCAGAAAGCTTGGGCCAGGCTCTGCACAGCTGGCAGTGGCTGGGCCTGCTGGCTTTTCGGCTTCCCTTTTCTTGATTTAGCAGGGAGTGACTGACTTCCTTTACTTTTCCTTGGTCATTTACTAAGACCAAGGCCCTTCTCAGCAGGCAGCCAGCATGCCTTTCTCCTTAACTTTTGGTTGCTTATCCACTGGAACCTGGGACTTGACCTGAGACTTGTAGCAGTGTTTGATAAATGGAGTGAATAAGGAAATTCTCTGCATTTGTCTCGCCTGGCATCCTGTTTCTGCCTAGGAAGTCTGTAACTAGTTAACTAGGAAGTGTCTTTCCTGCCCTTGTGTTTATGGAGCTGCCTTGACATGGCTCTTGGTTTCACACACATTTAATGTGATAAATGCCATCATCAAGGGGGCCAGGCTAACTGCTGTGGAGCTTCAAGCACCCTCTGAGAAGAGCTGTCATGTGAGGTCTTCTAGGAATAGTGTTGATTTTGAGTTTTCTTATGGCACACTATCAACCCCTCCCTCCTGGGGCAAAATAGCCATTTGATGCTTAAACCAGTAAGGTTTAGGGCACCAGCTGTGCAGTGTTGCATATTGTTTTGTGATGGTTGTTTTTTTCTTCTTCCTGTGCTCACACCTGGCTACAGGGGCAGGCACTTAAGGGTGAGGTATGCCTTGGGCCCCTCCTTACTCTCCTTTCCCCAGTGCCTGCTGTTGCTGATGGCTCTTTGCTCTTCTCTGGTTCTCTCCCTTCCCAGTGCTCAGGCAGGCGCTGCGGCAGAAGCACCTGGAGGCCCAGCAGGCCTGCCGGCCCCACAACCTGCCTGTGCTCCAGGCCGCTCAGCAGCGTGAGCTGGAGGTAGGGGCCGGGGGTGAGATGGCTGGACCTGGCTCCTCCTATGGGTACCACCTGGCTCTGCCGAGGGGCCTCAAGATGGCTCAAGAACCTGTGACTAGCCAGGTGTGGTGGCGCAGGCCTGTAATTCCAGCACATGGGAGGCTGAGGCAGGAGGATTGCTACAAGTTCCAGGCCAGCCCAGGCTACATAGTGAGTTCAAGGCCAGCCTGAACTACATAGTGAGACCCTGTCTCAAAAAATGAAACAACCCACTGGGGATTTAGCTCAGTGGTGCCGCCGCCTGCCTCGCAAGCACAAGGTCCTGAGTTCGATCCCTGCTACCAAAAATACCCCAAAAGAACCCATGACTGCTCTGGGCTTTAGCCTAGTAGGGTGCTGGAGTCCAACCACATAGCTTCTCCCAGTGGGGACTGGGGTGTGCGAGGGCTGGGTGGAGAGTAAAGGCCCACTGGTGATCCCTCATTCTCAAAATAGCTCCTTGAAGGCTGGGGTGTGGACAGAGCAGGTGCTGAGTTGGGGCCACCACATGCCTCAGGCATGCAAGCACACCAGTGGAGTGACAGGGCCAGCAAGAAAGGGGTCTGTGCTCCTAGGGAGCTTTCAGTGAACTGGAGACCCACATGTAATCAAGCTGTGTGTGGGTGTGCTCTGTGTCAGGTCCCAAGGCAGCCCCCAGCTGGCCCTTTTGGGGAAGGATCTTGGAGTTCCTCTGCACAGTTCGCTGATGCAGAAAAGGGAAAGGCCTGGGTATGGCAAGGATACCCATAGTTCTGGAGCCAGTACCACTGGGCATGGACAAGGAAGTGGCAGGCCAGAGGGTATGTCTGAGAGATAGATGGGTGAGGGCTGAGCCTGGAAGCCACCCTCATTCCCTGCCCATGGCAGGCAGTGGAGCATCGGATCCGGGAGGAACAGCAGGCGATGGACCGGAAGATTGTCCTGGAGCTGGACCGGAAAGTGGCTGACCAGCAGAGCACACTCGAGAAGGCAGGGGTAGCTGGCTTCTATGTGACCACCAACCCACAGGTCAGCACCTGGGCCTGCCTTGCCCACAGCTCATGTGTCAACTGGTCCCTGAAGGCCCAAGGTCAGTGATTAACAAAGATGCAAGGGAGGTTCCAGGAAAGGTATGCAGGCCCATCCTACTGCCCACAGGAAGGTAGGCCACCTTCCCCAGGCCTGCTGGGCCCTGCAGGGCCCTCTGCTCCACTCCTGCATGCTAATCTGAGTGCATCATCTGGGGAGACTGCTGGCCCTCCTAGGGTCAGAGGCCCAGACTCTCCCCCTTTTGGCCAGCCTCCAACTGGGAAGTCAGCCCCATCCCCCCATGCCCACTAGGCTAGGGCAGAAAGGTACCAGGTGTCCTGGCCATCATGTGTCCCCTCTGCATCCCAGGAGCTGACACTACAGATGAACCTGCTGGAACTCATCCGGAAGCTGCAGCAGAGAGGCTGCCAGTCTGGGAAGGCAGCCCTGTGACCAGGTAGGGTCCCTGCTGGCCACCTCTGCCAAGTGTGATTAGGAAATGCAGCCGCGTCCACTGTTACCAGAAAGCGGGACAGAATTTCTCTTCCTGATGTTTGGCCACTGACTCAGCTGCCACCAGACATTGTCCTTCTGCAGAGAGGCCTGGTGACCCTGACTCTGTCACCCACCTCTGTCTGGATTTTTTGGTCCAAGCACTGAGATAATGTCATAAAAAGAAGAGGGGCCCAGCCTGTGCACTGTCTGCCCCAGGGTCAGGTGCAAATGGGGCTACTGGTTCTAGCACCTTCCCACTAGGTGGGCACATCCCAACCTCTCTATAGGTCCCTGGCTTTGTGCTTACTTTTGTTTTGGCCCCTCCTTGGCAGCTGCAGCCCCCAAGTAGAAGGGGCTCTGAGGCCCAGGCCCTGTGTGACTCAAAGAAATAAAAATACCTACACATAGCTTATGTGTCTGTGATTTCTGCCACAACCAGAGCTCATGTAGAGCCCTTTCCCAGCAGGTCTGTGACCCTGCTGGAGCCAGCAGACAGCAGCCCTTTCCTGATGCAGCACTATGTTGTGGCAGAGGCCTCATCGAAGGCTCCCTTCCTCCTGAGCTGCCCAACCCCACCACCTCTTCCCTGAAACAGGGACTGCTCACCCCCTAGCTCTCCCTGATCCAGCCCTGGTCCCCAGGTACTATCATTGCTATGTCTCCACAGGTCTTCCCCACCAAGTTCCAGGGCACAAGGACCATACCCAGACTACTCCATGGGATGGAGAACATGGGTGGAGAGGCACATGCACAGGGGTAGGGGTATGAAAGGAAATACCTGCCACAGGCCTGGTCAGTGGCCTTTCAGGGCAGCAGGAACCTGGGGAGGGGAGTGGGGAGTAGGGTAAAGGACCTGGAGTGACAGAAGAAAGAGGAAGCCCCGGCCCGTCTGTGTACTGTCTGCACTGGTCAGAGCCCTTGGGCCCACTGGTTTCTGGGCTATGGACTCAAGGGTGGCCTAGTCTGCACTGCAGCCAGGCAGAAGGGTTGTCCGCCCATCCCAGCCAGTCTGGACTCCTGGCCTGAAGGTGAGACTTCTCCATCCTAGCCATTCCCTCAGTTGATTTCACATGATGGCATGTGGTAGAGTTGAGGGCGCTCATCTTCAGAATGGTGATTTATTGACCAGGCAGCTTTCCAGCTGAACCACCACCCTCCATGAGGCTTGGGTGTGTGGCAGGTGATTCTTCAGGCCAGCACCAGAGATGGCCCCTTGCTTCTGACAGTTCTTAGTGGCCTGTGTGCCTACATTCTGGAGAGGGCAGGACTGGGGTTGGGAGACTAAGGGCAGGAAATCCTGCCACCAGTGGCTCTCAAGTTTTGGGGGTAAAACAGGTGAATTCTGTGAGGTTGGGGTTGGACTACAGCTGTGATGGTGTGGGTGGCACCCAGATCCTTTCCCTACCCTGCAACCCAGGGAGGTCACAGACTAAGTATGTGGCTGTGGTGGGAGAACATGGCTAGGCTGGGTAGTGAAGGAGGCTGCCAGTGCGGATCCGCCGCCTCAGCTCCTGCCATAGCAGCTGCCGCTCACGCTGGGTGCCCTTCGTGACACTGCTATTCTCCAGGGCTCGGCGGCACAGGTAGGGCAGCACCTCCATCACCGGGCCATAAGGCATGTACTTGTACACGGGGAAGCCTGCCTGGCCTACAAACACAGCAGATGCAACTCTAGGTCCCAGCCCCCTCAGTGAGACCCTCACCTGCCCCACCCAGGGAAGCTGGGCTCACCCAGTGGGAAGCTGATTTGGTCACACATGCCCAGCAGCTGTCCGAAGTACACCTGGCGGTCAGAGGGATGCAGGCCCAGCTCCTCCATCCTGTAAGCAAGTGAGGCCAGGCAGGTGAGGGCCTGGATTTAAGACACTGTCCCGAGAGTAGTGCAGCGCCCCTGTCCTACCTCTGAGTACCTCCTACTTCCCCCAGACCTCAACCCGACCCGTACACTGCATCCTCTCCTCAGGCCAGGGCTGTGGGCTTTGCCCTGCCCCCGCAGTCTCTTCCCAGGAGAACTTGCCTGGGCTGCCCTGCTGCTCCCAGGGAAAGACTGCAGGGTAGGCCTTAGCCCGTGGCCAGCACAGTTCCTCCCCTTCCTCCCTTCCCTTCCTCCCTCCACTCTGGCTCTCCTGTACCTTCTCCACCTGCTTCCTCACCCTGCAGGGCCTGCCCCTGGCTCAAGCAAGCTCCTGGGCCCTCATGCATCACTGGGATTTTGCTTTGGTGACTGATTTGCTGGCAACCCCGCCCTTGTCCTCCCCTTGCTGAGTGCCCTGTCTGTACAGCTGCTGTGTCTCATATGCAGCCACCAGCAGGCTGAGTCCTTAGAAGGTAGCTGGTCTGAATCAAGATGTGTCTGGTCAAATATATAGTCTGCTTAAAAAACACACACACATTTCAGGAACAGTATGATGTTTTTTCAGTAGATGGTATTACCCTCGTATGATGGGGGACCCTAGAGTATGTTATGTATCACAGAAAACCCACTACACTGCCAGTCCTTAGAGAAGAAATTGAAAATGCATGTGCAGCAATATCAGTGACCAAGGCTGCCCAAGCAGCAGTTCCCTGTACTAATAAATATCTGGAAGCTTATGGCCACCACTTTGAGCACCTCTTGTAATTGAAGAGGCCAAAGATAACTTGTATTAATCTCATGGTATCTCAACAAATTTAGTATTAAAGTATTTATACAAGTTTTTCTTTTCCTAAAGTGCGTATTTTTTTTTTCCAGACTGTATATATACTAGATGTAGACGTTGGAGACTTAGTAGAAAAAAAGAATGGAAAATTACCTTGTATATGTGTGTGTTGGGGGGTACAGGCACTGAACCCAGGGCCTTGTGCATGCTGAGCTACATTCCCAGCCCTATAATATTAAAATTAATTTCATCTTTTTAAAACTTGGCTATTGGAGGATTCTGACTTACAGCTGTGACTCATATATTTCTCTTAGCACTGCTCAGATGTCAGGGTGGTGACCCCCAACTGTTCAGTCTCCAGTTTTCATACCACCCCTTGTAGGGTGTTACCGACCTTCAGTGTTTAAAGTATCTATGTTGGTGGTTCCCACATGTTCATCTCTAGCTTCCTATAATCTAGGCTTTGTGTGTCTGCCACTGCACTCTGGAGCTCTCCAGCCTCAGTGCACAGTCAGCCTGGGTTTCCTCATACCCTGCCCAAGGCTGCTGGCAGGCCTGTGGCCCCCGCCCTGCCCCTGGCTCCCCAGAACACCCAGAAACTCGGCAGGAGAGCATCCCCTCCTTCCCCACTTCGCTCCAGTGTCAAGATCTTGGGCAGCAGTGGGCTATGTGCAAACAAGTCCACTCCCCTGAAGACCCCTCCCCTGCCTCTGCCACATGATTACGAACAGAGTGCAAGAGGGTGCCCCGCGGTTTCAGGCTGTGAAAAAGCACCATCTTGAACACAGGTAGAGTAGTGACGGCACTCAGTGACTGTAGAATCGTGGGGCACTGTCCAAGCAGCACTGGAAAATGCCCTTATCCCCTGCCTTGCCTTGCACCTCCACTGCACCTCCAGGAAACCCCACCTGGTGTCCAAGCATGGGCCTGAGGCTACTGCTGTGGAGGGGGCCCCAGCCTGGCTGTTGGGAGAGTCGGGGCCAGCAAGGCTGCTGCCCAGGGCCCAAACTCCAGGAAGGGAGGGACCAGGATGAGGAGGAAACAACAGCAGGTGCTGTTGTATCTACAGTGTGAGACAGAACCGTGATGAAAGTACTGGGATGTTTAGGAATCTACCTCACCTTATTTCTGTATTTGACTTACTAGAATTCTACCAGAGTTGTGTTCCATGGGACAAGCATTTAAAGAAAAAACAGACTACATTAAATTCCAAATTCAGTTGAAACATTAACAGAAACTGTTTATGATGAGGTGGTTTATAACTGTTTTTATAAACACTGAAGAGGCCTCCTGAGGAGGACTAAGATTTAGCACCATGCCTGAACATTTCAATGAGCTATTTAAATCACTTAACAAAATTTATTTTTTTTAATTTGGGACTAGTAAATTGGGTATTAATTTTTTAAATGAAAGTAACTGCAAATAGCCTTCTTGCTGCTATAGGGCCATATGAAGAAAGCCAGCAAGGCCTGGGGTCTGTGACACATTAAAGACTCTGTGCCAGCTCTTTCCATGGGGGTTACCTCTCAGAACGCCCAGCAGCACCTGGTGGGCCACTGTGTGCTCCCTGAGCCCTGGGCCACTACCAGCTGTCCCCAGTCACAGAGAACCCCATAGCTCAGGGCATGTAGCACCTACCTTCGTAGTGTGAAGCACACTGTGTCCTCATTGTGAGAAGCCACCATGACCTTGGCCTTTGAGTTGTGCTTCAGTTCCTCCAGAACATAGTTGAGGCACCTGGGGAGAGCACCACCTGAGCCTGGCCCTGCCCACTGCTGCTTCCCCTCAGGGCTGTCCTGGAGCCATCAAGTGAGCTGGCCCCTCCCAAGGGTGCCCCCAGCATCAGGGGGAATGAACAGCACCTGGCTCGTTCAGTGCCTTGTGAAGAAGGATCAGAACCATGACAAGGTGAGACCAGACAGTTCACAGAGCACTAGCAGGGACACACTGTCCCCACATCAAGTGCTGTCACTCCACAGGGCCTGGGGGCGGGGGGGCGGGTTGCCTGGACCTGCCATCTTGTCTCTGGGAACAGACTCCATAGTGCCCTCCTGGCCCTTCAAGGAAATGAAAAGAAGTGGGTCCCTGAAGGTCTGGAGGGTGGATGTCTATGTACCAGGGAGACTGTCCATAGTACCACTGTCCTTTAGTAAGGACAGCTGCCAGGCTGACAGTGTACCTTCCCTCTGACCCAGGAGTCCCACTTCTAAGGACGTGTGCAATGGCTGTGTCTTTAGGCACAGAACCTTTGATAGCACTTGTGTACAGCAAATAAGGACAAGATATTTCATGAATCCTTGTTGCAATAACCAGACTTGATCACAGAACCCAGATACACAACCTGGGCGCCCCCTGCTGGCTGACAACACTGCAATGCTCTACGCTGATACAGGAGGATCCAGATTGAGCATTAAGTGAAAAAAAGCAAGGGGCAAAAGGCAGATTGCACAATGTATTGTATGAATGGGGCAGACGTGTGGCAGGACACAGATGTGCACAGTGGCTTCTACATGTGGGTGTGGCCAGGAGGAGAGCTGGAGCCACCAACAAGACATTCGGGGTCCCCTTCAGTTTGCAGCAAGCACACAGTCTCAGAAAAGCAGCACAGAATTGAGCTGCTTGTGCGTAACACAAAGATCCCCAAGATGATCCCCAAGCAAAAACAGCAGAGGCACCACCACTGGCAATCTGCTACTGTGTGAACAGCAAAGCAAATGGGTGCAGCCATCTCCCAGGGCTTCTCATCTAGGTGGCACCAGGAGCCAGCTGGGTAATTGAGGCCAATTTTGGTTTATTCAGTAGACTTTTCTATATTTAAAGAAGAAAAACCTTAATGTTTTTGTGAAAGTGATGCAAAAGCAGAGGGAATGTAACTTACACCCTCAGGATACGTACAAGTGTCTACTCCTGCTGGAGGCTGCTGGCCTTGAATAGGGTCAACATTAAGCACATGTGGAGGCCTTAACCCCCCACCCTGCCTCAGGAAGCACAAGGGTGCAGCAGGGCTGGCTCACCTGTAGTACATGGTGTTGGTGGCCTCATAAGTGGGGTTGATGGGGTCCTCATAGCCAATCTCCGAGGCACGGGCATGCTCCTGGGCCATGTATGCACCACGCACCAGCTTGGCCCCAAAGCACCAGCCTTCCCGGCGAGCCAGCTCCACATCCAGGGTCACATTGTCATAGGCATCCTGTGGGGCCAAGGACAAGTCATAGGAAACCCAGCTGATGGCCAGGATAGGGACTTTGTATGCTCAGGTGCTCCTGAGTATGTCAGCTTGGGGCACTGGGCCAGGTGGCAGCTGCCTGAAGAAGGTCCCACTCAGAAGATGTGGGAGACAGGATGGGCCTCTGAGCTCTGTCCCCAGTGAGGGGTGACAGTGGTGCCATCTGCAGCCTCCGTGTGGCCTGGGGACAGCCCTGTGGGGGTCAGCCCAGGTGCTAGGCATCACTGTGTACTCTAGGGTCTCCCTAGTTGGCTAGGAGCAGAGTGCATGCCAGGGACACCTACCTGGACTCCTCCCCAAACTACCCATGTCCTCTGAGTGCCTGGATTGTCCCATGAGCTCTGGATCTGTACAGGTGCCCAGCAGCTTAGCATCCTCAGGCTGAAGGCTACCTTAAAGCACCTCTAGGTTTCTCCAGTGCTGTACATGCAAAATTCTGGGCAAGTCTTTTTCTAGCCAGGAGCCCAAAGCTTTCATCATACTTTTTTGTTTTGTTTTTTGGTACCGGGGATCAAACTCAGGACCTTACACTTTCGAGGCAGGCGGCGGCACAACTGAGCTAAAACCCCAGCCCCAGCTTTCATCAGACTCTTAAGAGGATCCTGGGCTAAAACTGAGCAGAAAAATGTCCATCCATGAAGCCTTCAAAATTTGGGGTTTAAAGCATATCAGGTGGGTCTTTGTCTTTCTCACACCCTCAGTTTTGTCCGGGTCCCAAAGCCCAGAACAGGGGCTGGCAACAGGGTTTCTGAAGGTCCTAACTTTCTACTCTGAGGCAGACACTCCAGCTGTGGGCTCCCCGCAGGCCCAAGCATGGCTGCTGGGTAGCAGCCTTTTTTTCTGGGCACTCCTGGCCAGCCCAGGATGAGCTCTGCTGCAGAGGACCCCATCAGCTCCTCAGGGACAATGCCTGCTTCCTCCTCTGTCCTGCAGGCCCCAGCCTTTGCTCAGAGCAGGGCCAGGCAAATGCTGTAGGCTCAGAAGAAGAGAACCTCTCCTGCAGGTTAGCTGGTCATGCTGCACATCAGAGGGGCGAGGCAGGTAGGAATGCAGCTGGTACCTTGAGGTAGCACTGATATGTGTTGAAAATGAGTGGCTTCTCCACACTGAACTTGCGCTGCATTTCCAGTGTCAGGTGGCTGATGGCTGGCTGGAAGTAGGACTGCTCAGCATCTATCATCAGCCACACACCCACATCCATGGCTTTCTGAAAGGTGCAGGGGGCAAGAGAATATAGCTCAAGCGTGACAGATGCCTTCCCTTGGCTCAAGTCCCAGGGTCTTTGAAGCCCCAGCCCAGACCCCACATGGGGTAGCTCACACCTTGGCCAGCACATCCATCCTCTGTAGCATCCGTGTCATCTGCAGCTCTTCCTCCTCAGTAAACCGTGACAGCAGCGGCTCCAGCTGTCCTGTCTGAGACCCAGGTCACATCTCTCAGCAGTGCTACCCTCTTCCCCCTCACAGGAGGCAGAAGGGCCAGCTGGGCCTGCCAGGGAGGCCGGCCCTCCCTGCTTCTCCCCTGTACATATGAAGGTCAGTACTTCACCTTAGGCCAGTAGACACAGTGACAACACCCTGGACTCATGGCAGCCATTCTGCTGTCATACACCTGGGCCTGGCAGCACCAGGAGGGTGCTCAGTACCTGTGCCAGCCAGCTGCACCCCAGGGGATTTGCTTCCATAGGTCCTCAAAGGGTCCTACAGCTGGAGGACTCCCATCACCCCCGAACAAGAAAGAGGAAGTGAACCTTGACCACCCAATCAACTGGAAAGGCTGAGCTGGCAACAGGGAGAGGGCTCTAGAGGAAAATCTGTGGCTACAGGCAGACAGGACATCCAGGGAAATAGACTAACTGGCAGCAAGGAACTAAGAGTGGCCCTCAAGGAGTCAGGCAGTTAAGTGGTGGGCTGGTGACCAGAGGCAGCAGGACCTTCCAAGTGGCCTTCACTCCCCTGCTAGGGTGCTCCTGGGGTGCCAGAGAACATGCCCCACAGATTTACCCACTAGATACAAACACCACTTTATTCCTGGCCATGTGTCAGTGGCTTTGGAGTAGAGCTACACTCAATATGCCACTTCCAAGGCTCTAGGGCAGTGGCTCAAAGCTTAGAGCTAGGCCTTCAGTTGGCTGGGGCTGGAAGTGTGGAAGGAGCATTGCTAGACCCCAATGGTCTCTGTTCCTCTCTCAAACCCCAGCACAGGTGGGGTCAAGCAGTTTCATCCTCTCCTCTAACATTGGTTGCCCTGGTAATGTGGCAGAAGTAAAGCCATGTGACTTCTGAGGCTAAGCTGGAAAAGACAGCATGGCTTCTGCCCGGCCCTCATCTCAGGGCCTCATCTCAGAGGGTCCTTGGAGGCCGCCTACCATGCTGGGAGGAAGCCCCGTTGAGAGGCAGCATCCACCTCCAGACCTCCATGCTGATGTGGCCATGCACCCTCTGAGTCCTACAGCCATGAGAGGGAATAAAATGCTGCCATTTCTGGCCACAAAGGTTTGGGGTGACCTAACGCACAAAGTTAGATGACTTGGGAGAGACCTCTCCAAACATCCTCTCTAGGTAGTATCTTTTTTTTTGGTAGTGGGGATTGAACTCGGGACCTTGTGCTTGCAAGGCAGGCGGTGAAACCACTGAGCTAAATCCCCGGACCTCTAGGTAGTATCTTAAGGCTCCTCGTGGGTCTTCGTCCCACTGAATACTCTGTTGATTTGTCTTCTTCCCCATGGGGCAGAGGAAGGCAGTCTCAGTCACACTGTGTCCCCGGGATGGGCAGCAGGAGACACATATGGTGAGGTGAATTCTCTTCTTGGCTGCATGTTATCTGGGCTGGCCTCAGGAAGGGGAGCATTACCTGCATGTTGGGGACCATCAGGTGCCTAGAGAGCCGGGTCCTGCTGTTGATGAGGCTGTTCCAGTCCAGCAGGTCCACAGTGCTGAGGGAGAGGGTGCATCAGCAGAGGAAGTGCACACAGCTTCTCAGTCCAGTCACACAGCTTTACCCACGACACTAGGGTCATTTGTGGGTCCCAGGAACAAACCAGCCCATACCCCCCAAAAAGCACCCCCAAACCCAGCCACCACAAACCCCACCCCTATTTGGTTTTGAAATACAAAACATAAGTACTGTTCTCCACTTAAAAAATTAAAACCCAAACATGCACATTCCTGCATTGGAATGGTGGCTATAGAAACACAAAGTGTACACTGGGAATGCCAAGGCCAAGTCAGGCTCAGAGCTAAAGGTAGGAAACAGGCAGCAGGCAGACAAGATGCATGGCGACCTAAGTCCTAGTCCCTGAGGGTAGGGTACAGGGCTCAAGGAGGGCTGGGTGACACTCACTCTGGGACCCAGACAGTTCTGTAGAAAGCCCTGTGTCCACACTGTCCAGCTGCAGCCCCAGGACTCCCAGCTCCCCGTCAACTCCTGCTCAGTATGTCTCAGGGGAGTGTTCCCTTCAGTGCTGTCACCCTAGAGGTCCACCCTCTTAGAAAAGTGACCAGAACTGGGAGAAGCTGCTGGGGCTTAGCTGGAACCATGGCCACACCAAGGGAGATGACACCGCTTCTCTCCCGGGGCAGTTCTTACCCAGACACTCCCAGGGTCTCTGGTGTGAACCAGTCTTCTATCTCAGCCCTGGATGCAATGCCCATCTTCACAATACTTTCCTTGAGAAGAAGGCAGAGTCAGTGCTGATGTCTCTCAGCCTTGCCCACTAACATCTCAACACACCCCTCACTGCTCTGTGGTGCCATCTGACAGGGTCAAGTCTACTCCCTCCTAGTGACTTTCTTACCCCTGTGGCTCCCCAACCCTCCTACCAGCACGTCCGGAGTCCTTCCTGTGACAGTCCTCCTTTTCCTCCCTCCCCCTCCCTAGCTGACCCCAGCAGCACAAATCCTGGATTGGACTCTTCCCCAGCCCCATGGTTCCCACCCCTCACCCTCCGAGGAAGGGGAAGAGCTGCCCAACCTGCAGCGCTGCCACTTCTAGCTTCATATCCATGGCAGGACGCCCAGCCTGCCCTTGCTCTGCAGCCATTTGGTGAAAGAACCGTCTCCACTTGGTCAGCACATCTGAGAGCCGCAGCTGTAAAAGCAGGCCTGAGCTACCCCATCTGCGGCACATACCTGGCTCCCCAGTCCCATGTGCCCTCTGGGGCTGAGAACAGGGCTATAGCTACACCCTATCCCACCCTGTAGCCCCAGCTCACCACCTCAAAGTTATGGCCATGTCTGCTGGCATTTAATGCCCACAGCATTCCCGAGGTCTTGGAAAGTCTCTGCAGATAGAAGTTTCCAGCACTTACCAGAAACTGGGGTCTCCCCAGTGCAGTAAGCTTAATGGCTGAGAAGCCATCATTGCTGGCTCCACCTGTCAGAAGCCAAAGGAAGAGCTATGAGGGTTCCTGAAAAGACAGATGCCAGCATGGGGGAGGGAAGACCAGGAGTCTATGCTGGCTCAGTCTTGTAGCTGAGTCTCTAGCCATGGTGCTATCCTGACCCTCAAACACCCCTGCATACCTCAGATGCCACCACAGAGGTGGGAAAGGTGATTCAGTAAAGTGCACATGTGCCACATAGTACAGGAAGGCAGCAGGCAAAGAAGCTAGGGAGGCTACTTGCTGCCATGGGCTTCCCAGCACTTCCTGCCTCAGTCAGTTTCCTCCTCTATGCCATCAACAGGCTATCCATCCATGGGTCACAGGACACAGAAATACCAAGTGGAGCAGAAGCTGGACCACAGAGGGTGCTCATTTTTACTTCTGCTTGCCATCACTGCCCAGGCAAGGGACAGGTGGAGCACTGGCCTGACTGCTGGGGACCCCCAACCCAACAGATGGTGCTTCCCAGCATCACTGTCTCTGATCTGAAAATGTTCAGAAGGCACAGGACCACTGGCACTCACTGACAGCAGGGAACTGGGTGGCTGGGGACTGTGCTGGCCCTCAGGATCCATGACTCCATGGCTCAAATTGCCTCCCCTGCCCTCCATAACCCGAAAGGCTATACCAGGGAGAGGTTTCCTGTCATAGAGGATGGGCTCCCCAAGTCTAGGGGTGGCTCAGTCTACTGACACTGACTACCTCTAGAGCTCCATGACTGGGCACCACACCCCAAGGGGCAAGAGTGTGGGACAGGGCAGCAAGGGTCTGCACATGGCACAAGTGCAGTGTGAGCTAGGATCAGCCCTCACTCTGGTCCCCACATTCTTCACCAACCTGAATCTCAGGGACCACCTGTCCAGGGACCTTCCCAGGCTGACGCCTGGCAGGAATGCAGCCAACATGGAGGGCTCTACCTGAGGCTTCGATGCAGCGCAGGAAGTTCTCCATGTAGCTGTCACACTTGGCTTCATTGGCATAAAAGTACGTGTGGGCACTGACAACACCATCCCTACGGTCTCCAAAGGCATGGTGGGCTTGGTAATGCTTTTCCCTCTTATCGGTGCCTGGAAAGGTGGACACATGGCCTAAGCACATACACATGCTCCAATACCCCACTTCGGCACACACAAGCTGAGTCCCAGGACCACACCACCCTCAGCACAGGCTCCATCTGGACTCCTGGGCTCTGCATGCCATAGCTCCCTCACTCCCCTCATCTCAGTCAACCATGTGCCCCTTCCTTGCTGGTCCCCCATTTGGAGTGCATGTGCCTCTGGTTCACCCTCAGCATGAGGCAAACCAGACCAAGAAGGCCAAGGCTCCAGAACAAAGGCTGAAGCCCAAGGGAACTGAGTCTACTGAGAGGCCTGTAAGAATAAGTAGGGCCAGGGCTGGGGATTTAGCTCAGTGGTTTCACTGCCTGCTGCACAAGTGCAAGGACTCGAGTTTGATCCCCAGTACCAAAAAAAAAAAAAAAAAAACAAGAATAAGTAGGGCCCATTCCTTGCCAGGGTGCTTTCAGGTGTCTGAGGGCACACAGAGCCAGACCAAGAGTGCTGGGCACAGGGAGGAGCATGGGGCACTGTCCTCCTCCCCAGGGAATGCTTGGGCCAAGAACCAAGGTGTCTCCTGGGTTACTAAGGTACACATGGGTGTGGGACAGCATCTGCCTTACTCACCACTGCTATCCCTCTCGGCTGCAGAGGCGCAAGACCTGCAGGGAAGAGGAAGAGGCAAAGATCAGGGTCACATACCTGGGCTGCAGGTGATAAGAAGGAGAGAGAGGGGGAGAGGGGGAGAGAGAGAGAGAGAGAGAGAGAGAGAGAGAGAGAGAGAGAGAGAGAGGGAGAGAAAGGGGAAGATGAGGCTGAGTCGTGGACCCTCCCATGAACATGACAGGGCTGGCCCCAAGACACAGCCCAACTGGGAGTTAGCCTGGGCAGGCCCAGCCCCACCTCAGGCTTTGGGCATAACCACCTGGGCCAGAGAAGGGCAGCAGCTCTGGGGCCCTGGAGCCCCATGTCCTCAAGAACCTCCAATTTCTTGTGGGTGGAGCCCCTCCCTATTGGCAAAGAGTAATGAAAACTATCTTCCTGGATTTCCAGAACAGCCTGGGGCATTCGGCTCCTTCTTGAAAGAAGCAAGTGAGGAGGGTACTGCTTCTTCCAAGGAAAGGCGGGAACACAGAGCCACACATGGTCAAGAAGAATGCAAGCCAGAAACCACCCTGCACACAAAGTTCCCCAAATCCAGCAGTGAGGCTCCCTTCCTCTGACCTCCCTCAACCTGTCAAGTCTCCAGGCTCCTTAGGACCACAGCCCTAGGCTGAGCTCTGGGCTCCAGCCTCCATCCACTCCCTCAACTGTCACTGTCTGGCCTGTCCCTACCCCATGGCCACTGGTCCCTCCCTCCTCCATTGTACCCGCTCCTGATACCATTCTTCCCACCAATGCCAGGATCCCTGCCAGAACCATAGCAAATGCCATCCTCCTCCTCAGTTCCAAGGCTGTGCCATGTGGGACAGCACATGGTTAGTTGTTATGAAGGAAGGGGAAATTCACCCTGGCCCTACCCTGTTGGACCCAATCTGGCTTTGTCTATCATCAGCCTTTGCATTTAAAGCTGTATTAAATCAGCTGCCTCAGAGAGACTGAGCTCAGCCTTGTGACTAGCAGTATCGGGGCTAACCCGTGACCCACAGGAAAGAACAGCAGTTTCTTCCTCACCATCCTTTGGGGCAAAGGTAGAACCATAAATGCACCTTCACAGGGCTCATGCATCAGGGGGCCTTGCCTGTGGTGGCTTCTGACCTCACTGCTCAGGAAGCAAGTCCTGGGCCACCAAGCCACATGCCAGGAATCCCTCCCCTCAGCCCTGACTCCTCCCCCAGGGTCCTTATCTGGGGACTTTGAGCCAGAATATGCAGATCGGGACCCAGAAGTCATAGTGGGGCTAGGCTCTAAGGCCCTAGGACTCCCCATATGGCATCATAGCTCACAAGGTCACAGCCTGGAAACAGAAGCTGGGTAGGCAGCTACTGCTCCAGCCACCTCATGCTGACAAGATGTAATAACAAAAAAGAAGAGGGATAGATGTCACAATGTTGTGACTCTGTAATGAGTGAGCAGGCTGGCCCTGCACTTGACCTCCTTGCCAGGAACAGGGAGCTCCCTGGTCCCCTCCTAAGGCCCGTGATGTAGATATCAACAAGCCCAGTGGCAGGGACAGCCCCATCCCTTCAAGCAGAGGCCCAAGTACAACCAAAAGTCCTCATGGCAAGGAGGGACAGACTTAGGGCCTCTGAGGCCCAAATAACCCACAATGGGAAAGTTCAGTCCTATAACCATGAAGCCCACAGTCTAGTTAACATGTTTGCTGTGGTTTCACCACCAAACATCACTGCTGGGCCTGGCCCCCATCTTTTCTGTGCTTTCTTGAGTCAGGCCAGGGACTACACCGTGGACTTCACTGAGAATGGTGGCCTCTGCAAGAATACAGCCTATGAGCCTTGTGACAGGAGGATGGGTTAGGAGGAAGATAGGTCTCTGGGCCTCCCGAAATGGATGCTGAAGCAGTTCCCCACACAGGGGTCTGTGGGGCTGGTCACGACTGCCAGGGTACACCTGGAGGGCCCTGCAGCCAATCGGTGTGGATGCTGAGAGGCACCTACATGGCCAGCCCCCCACTATGGCCTGGGCCCCTCTGAAGGTAGAGCTGCCAGCCAAGCTGGGCATACCCTGCCTCTGGCACTGGCCAGTTGTCACTTGTTAGGTCAGGAAAGGACCCCCACTTATGTCAGAGCCTGAGTGGGGTTCCTGCAGGATAAGCAGCCATCAACAGCTGAGCAGCCCAATGGAGGCACAGCCTTTGGAGGTGGGGGGCGGGGCAAGGCAAGGCACACTCACACCCACCTCCAAAGGCTCAGTTGCAGGCCAGGGAGGAGTCAGGCTGCCCTAGGAAAGGAGTCTTTTCCTATCAAAGGTATCCTGAGAAGAACTATCACTGTGAAACCTCAAAATCTTCATCCAGCCTAGACTAATGCTGCACAGCATGTTAGTTATTTATTCACAGTGGCCTCAATAAAAGCTGAAGCCTGGCAGTGAGCCTCACAAGGGTGCTGCCAGTGGAGTATCCCGCCTTCAAAACAGCCAATGGCCAGGCAGGGGCTGGGCTCCCCTGGCCAATCAGCCGTGAGCCAGCATGCTGAGACAAGGCTGGGACATTCCGTTCCATGGCTGGAGGCCTCATGTGACTGCCTTTTCCTGCCCCTTCTCTGCAGCCCTGGTGGGAGGGCTGAGGTGTGTGTTGGGGAATAAGGGGGGCAAAACAAACACTGAGGCCTGACAGGGTCCACAGTGGGCGTGTCCCAAGCTTCAGGTAGGTTGGCACAGCCTCAACCAGGGCTGGGAGCACCCCAAATCCCTGTGAGGGCCTGGCCTGAGGGTTGAAAGCACCAGCACTTTGCCAAAGAAAGGGCTGGTCTTGCTGGGACCTCCTATGAGTCAACCCCTACCCTAGAGGACAACTTCGGCCTGTCCTTCTGTCCACCGATCAGAAGAATCTGTTCCCCATACTCACTTCCCAGGTGGTGGCCTTGCAGCCAGTCAGTGATATGGGAGGAGGAGGCTCTGGCCAGGCCACTACACTGCTCCTGGCTACAATTCCCTCCCTCACTTTAGAGGCCTGTCTGGGCAGTTCCACACCCTCCAGGCAGAGCTACCTGCAGATTAGAAAACTATTTCATGGGGCTGGGGCCAGACAGACTAGGGTGTTGGGACCTACCCAGGCAGTTAGGAATCCCTGGGAAGAGAGACTATAGCAGAGCAGGAAGCCAGAGCAGTCTCCTGCACCAGAGCCAGGAAATGAACATCCAAGTAGTACATATTCTCAGTCCTAGAAGCCACACATTTACACAACTCCAGCCCTGTAGGGCAAAAGCAATTTGAATTTCATATAATTTTTGTATCTCACAAAACAGAATTCTTGTTTTGATTTATTTTTTAAATCATTTTAAAACGCAGCCAGGCATGATGGTGCACGCTGGAAGCTGAAGCAGGAGGACTGCAAGTATGAGCTCAGCCTGGGTAACTTAACAAGACCCTGTCTCAAAAATTAAAAAAACACCTTGGGATGTAACTCGGTGTGAAGTTCCTTAGTTCACCTGCCAGTACCACAAAATAATTTAAATAAACAAATAAAACGAAAAAACCATTCATAGCTTGCAAATTGTACACAACCAGGTGGGGGTCTGGGTAGGGTTGAAGGCCATGGTTTGCAGACTCTTAACCTCCCGTCTCCTCTGGACTCACACACACACACACACACACACACACACACACACACACACACACACACACACACACACACACCCCAAGCTTTCTACAAAAGCCCAGACTGTCATTTTGTACAAAGCAAAAACTCAAGACCTCCAGGCAGATCCTCAGAGGACCCCCAGTAATCAGGCCAATGACTCTCCCAGCCTTGGCCTCCACCTAGCCAAGGCTGAAGCCCAGTAGCGGGACATGGCCCCCAACAGCCCCAGGGCACTTTGGGATCACCAGGAGACTCCTGTGCAGCTCTGGACAGGCAGGCCTTACTCCATCTCCTTGTGCTTCGCCTCCTCGGGGCTCAGATCTTCTTCCACTCCGTAGTCCAAAATGCAGCCAACGCCAAAGGCCCTGTTGTGCTGGATCAGGGGTCGAATGGACTCCTCATCCTCACCAGCCACAAAATGCCCATAGAAAGTCATCTTCATCAGCTTATCGAACAGTCTCTGCCCTACTAGTTTCCTGGCAGTGTGGAGCAGCTGAAAGGCAAAGGTAAGAAGCTGTTTGGGCTCCCATCCACCTTTTCCCCAGGAGCCCTGCTTATACCTCCCTACATTCTTCACTGTAACCAGAGCCTCCATATAGTCTCCAGGGAAGACCACCGGGGGCGGCACAGCAACTGTGAGCCAGTCCTTATCCAGGGCAGAATGGCATGACCAAGGTGCCACCCCTTGGCCCTCCACCCACTCTGGTCTCCCTGAAGCTGCAAGCACACTATTCCCTTGTGGACTCCCCACGAGGGGCCCAGCTCACAGGTCGCCCCAGGGCACACAGGTGCTTGACCACTGTTTGATGGGTAAAGAAGAGTGTGGTCAGTGTCCTTGGGTCAGCAGGGACATTTTCATAATACTCTCCACATCCACACCTCTGTAGCTCTGTCAGGGAGAAGGATCTGAGACTACTTTTGACAATGTGAGTGCCCAGATTTCTCAGTGGTTTTGTTCACTCTTATTCTAAGTCCCCAAAATAGTACCTGGCACAAGGCCAGCCCTTGAACAGTTGCAGAATGATGAACACATACAAAACTCAGGCTGAGCTTGCACTCAGCTGGAATGAGGCATGCTCTGACAGTAAGCCAGGTGATGGTCTACAAGGGTCTGTGAGAAAAGAGCCCACTCTGGGACCAGGGGCTCTTGTCCAGGGCTGACCAGCTACCCTGACAGACATGCCCTGGGGAAGACAGCTGCCCAGAAAATGGTTTCAGTTTTCCTCCCAATTACACCTCACGTCTTGAATTTCTGCCATCATTCCTTCAAATGTCCCAAACTGCTATGTGCCAAGCACAGTTTCAGAAAAGTGAAACTAATGAAGGAAACAGAAAGCACTGACACCATTAGGGGAGGGAGATCTCAAAAAGAACGTAGCAAGATCACTCCACACATGATCCAGAATGGGGAGACAGAGGCAGGCCTATGGCCAGGAGCGGGGTTAGTTTGCTAACCTACCTCCAGGGCAGGGGGACTTGGCAAGGCGAGAAGCTGACACAGAGAACAAGGGAAACTCTCATAGGAGCAGAGCCAAGAAAGGAGGAAATGGGGATAACCAGAGGTTGCTGGATGCTCAGAAGCACAGTCACCACCATGCATGAAACCCGCACAGCCCCTCACCAACTCAGCTCTAAGATAGAAAAGGACTAGGGTTTGTCAAGCCACACCGACAATGGAACTCCTCTTTTGTGAGAAATCACCTGTAACCTAAGCCAAAGCATTAGCAAGTCAAACATCTTCATCCCCAGAGCAGTGCCTTTCCCACTGGACTAAACACCGGCCATCCTCCCAAAGGCTGTGCAGGCAATCACTCCTGAATTCTCACAGCCTCTGTGCACTATGATTTTTCTGCATTTCATTCATTTATCAAGTGGATTAGAAACTGGAAAATGTGCCAACAACAGATAAGGATGGATCTCTGAGTCTCACCAAGCCCAAGCCAGAGTCAGGGGCCTATAGGACACAGCCAACTTTGATTGTTGCCAGAGCAACACTCAGGAGTAGCTGGGAGGAAAAGACAGATCTTGCATAAATCAGATAGCGTCCAAGTGGCAGGCGGGGCAGACTAAAGGACCTGAAAACCCTTACTCAGCTCTGGAAATGCACCTCTGATGTCTACATCAGCTGAGAGAATTACCAGGAACACACCTTGAGGGATGGTGGGTAACTTCGAAGTTCCCGGAACGGGGCCAGGTGACCTCATCTAACTAACTACTTAACTTTGCCACAGTAGCTCCACTCAGAGGAGCAGCAGCAATGTTGCGCTGGTTCTGGGAATCCCAATTACACAGACAGGGTCCAGAGACAGGCTGTAAGCTCTTGCATATGCTGCATGCTGACCCTCTGCTCTCCACAAAGTGGGCTAGGAAACAGCTGCCTGAGTCCATCACATGCCAGGAGAAGGTGCCCTGCAACAAAGGGCTCTGGAAGCACACTGGCAAGGCTGATAACAGCCACTTCCAGAGCCAGTGGCCCCTTTAAAGCCACTGTGGTGTCTCTTCTCTGGTGAGGGTATCCTTTGAGGATTAGAGACTTGCACCACTAGCATATACATTCATTTTCACTGTAAAAGACTTAAACAAATGCACAGGAAGCAACAACAGCCTGGCTGGTTCTCTGTTCTCGCTGCCCCCACCCGTCATCTGTCCTGTCACTCCTATGCCAGCTCACATTTAAGAATGGAAGCCCTGGACTTCTCTAAAACCTCAAAAAGACTGTTCTTAGATAAGCGTGGTCCCCAACTGAGTTCTGAGCCCCAAACTCAGCTCCTGTACCCTGACATCCCGGAGCAGGTCTGACTGACAATCCCACTGTCCTAACCTGGGTCCTCAGCAAGAGGAGTTCTCCCGCAGGCCAGGAGATAGGGGAGGACTGTTTCCTAGCCAGCCCACTCAACTGGGTTCTGGTGAGAAGCTCACAGATCCTGGACCTGGCTTCTGCCCATTTCCTCCAGCATCAGGCACTGAGCCACTGACACCAGAAAGACCACTTACAATTGGTCCCCGGCAAATTTTCCAGGGTCACCTTGAAGTTACTGTCACCTCTGATATTCCCAGCTTGGCCAAGGCTTTGTTCTGCTTTTTACCTCCTAAAAGCCCTCATGCTACTTAAAACTGCCGTTAGTTACTTTTCTCTAGTCACTGAGTCAAAATACCTGACACCCAAGTTAAAGGGGGAAAAGTTTATTTAGCTTATAGTTAGTAATTAGCTGGCTCCAAGGCAAAGTGGGAGAAGAGCAACAGTTCCTGGCAGTAGAAGACAGCAAAAGCAACAAGGGAAGTCTTTCGGCTCCTTTTATCTCATTCAGACTACCTAGGGCAGATAGCACTCACATCCTTAATACCTGTGCCTTTGGGCCTAGCATTGCACCAAGAATCAGCCACACACTCTAGATTCACTCACCTCTGAAAAATCCCCTCATGAGACCACATGAGGCTTTGGGGGGACCCCTAAACACAAGCTATAGCAGTTGCCGTGTTAAAGTTTAAAGCTGGTTGTTTGGGCAGCTTCCCATTTTCCTCAACATTGTTCATAGTGGCCTGTCTGGGGGAGCATTGGGTCACGGCTTGTAGAACTCCAGGATCCCAGGTCACAGCCTCTCCAATATCCTCAGATTTCCCTTTGGGGATAATTTTAAATTCCAGGCAATAACTTTGTATTCCTGCGAGTAATGTACTTCAAAATTAACTAGTCTTTTTTTTTTTTTTTTTTTTTTTTTTTAAGTCTTTGTTTTTTAATGGGTATTAACTGACAAGTAAAGAATCAGGAGGTTGGAAAAGGAATGCAGGAAACGCCTCCCTTCCTGACTTGTCTCACTCTGTAAGACGCACCCTGCTTCACAATTCCAAACTCCACAATGTGGTTCCGCGCAGCCCTGGCCCACCTGCCCGCCCACGCAGCCACCTGCCCACCCACGCACCTGCTCGTGGTGCGCTAGCAGCGTGGGCGAGGCGCACAAGCGCAGCACCAGCAGGCTGCGCGCCAGCTCCCAGCTATGCCGGCTGCGATAGGCCTCCTGTGGGTTGCCAAAATCCACGGCGGGCACCGGCGGCCGCACTGTCTCGCCCGCCCCGCATCCCGGCTGGGCCCCCGGGCCTGCGGTGGGCCGCTCGCGGGCCACTGGCGCAGTGGACAACGGCGCGAAGCCGGGCGTGCGGGGACTCAACGAGGAAAGGAAGCGTCTGAGAGCCATGGCTAGGGATCGCACGTGCCAGGGGTGCTTAAATAGTAGTACCGGCCCGCACATTTCAGAGGCTCCGCCCCCTGAGGAGACTCTTCCACTCCCGCCCGGCGCTCCGAGCCACGCCCTTTCTGTGAGGCCCCGCCTCGCACTCCCAAGAGCTTTGCGCCTGGAGGTAGGCTCCGCCCACCGAGCGAGCGCCTCCGGTCGAGCTCGACACTCAACGCGGCGTCAGGCTCACGTGGGAGTCCTTGTTTCTACGTCTGTCCACCAGGAACGCCACCCGCCCCGCTGGAGACCCCGCGTCCTAAGGAGCGGGGCCGGAGACCCTGTGTGTCGTTTGCTCGAGAGTTTCTGAGGTCCCCCAGCGGGATGGGTAGGTCCCGAGCCCGCCGGTTAGCTCTATAACACACCGTCGCCCTTCTGCAGACCTGGGCCCCCTGATGGTTGAACCGCGTGAATACACAGCTGAGGCCCCTGGAAGGTGGTCTAGCTTGTCCTCTGGTTTACAAAGAGGTGTTCTGGAAGCCGTCCTCTCCGCCTTCTCCCCATTGCCACCCACCCACCACCACGCCTGCGTGGGAAAGAGTCTTGCTCGGTGCTGCCTCTTTTCTGTCATCTAACCCGACCACCGTCCCAGGAGGAAGCAGGGATGTCCAGGCTCCCCCAAGAGTCCTCCACCCTCCACCTTGCCACCTTGTCTCTGCTGACCTAGCCATGGAACAATGAGCCCCTGCTTTGCCACTTCGCTCAGGCCTCCATCTACCCCAAAGGCCTTCCCACACTCTGCCCCCTCTGCCTCTCCTTCCCACATTTTGGACAGCCAGAGGCTCCAACAGCAGATATCACTGCCTACAGGGACTTGCCATTAGGACATCCTTCCTTATCACCCGACCCTTTGTCCCTCTCCCTAAAGATCCTGCTTCCCCACAGAGCCTGGGTCTAATTGTGGGTGGCATCCTTCCTCCCTGTGTCCAGAGTAGGGGACTAGCAGTATCTTAGGACTGTTAACATTTGTTGCCAAATAATTCTTTGTGGTGAGGACTGTCCTGAGCGTTCCAGGATGTTTATCTTCCTCCCTGGCCTCTACCTATCAGATGTCAAAAGCTCGAGAACACACACACACACACACACACACACACACACAGTTATGACAAAAATGTCTCCAGACATTGCCAGATGCCCCTAGAGACACCATCACTGCCACTGCCTCTCTTCCTTCTTCTGGAATTAAAGAAAAAGGGCAGAAACAAAAGCAGCAGATAAGTCCAGACTCAGAGGTAGGAGCTCAGAGGTTCCTCCAACAGCTCAGAAACTCGGCCTCCAAGGAGCAGGCCAGCCAGGGCATCTGGCCATGGCCGCCACAGTCTTCCCCACTTTCCTTTCACAATGATCATCCCTTCTTCTGGTAGCCTCTGCCTATCTCCCCCCATTCCTCTCTTGTCCCTCCTCTGAGCCCCACACTGCTCTTGGGCATCCTCCCCCTTTGTCCTCATTCCTCTTCCTCCTCAGGCTCAGCTTGACAGGCACCCCCCATAGGCCCTTCTCGACACCCAGGGTGGCCTGGGCACCCGCTTGGCCGCAGTTCTCTCTTTTGCACTTATTGCTGTGGCTGACTGCTGTATCCCAGCCACATTTGCTGACACCTTGATGTGTCCTTACTGAAGGAAGGAAGGAAAGAGAGAGGAAGAAGAATGATATTGGAAGTTTGATCCCAGGGTCTAGGCCAATGATGGTGACCCTTTTAGAGCATTTAATGATACAAACAGTCCGTTGTGGCATGCACGCCATAGGTTTGCCACCACTGGTCTAGGCTAACGACTATGGTTTCAAGGTTCATCCTCCAGGAGTCACCCTGGATCACACTTGATCGTTGTCTAGCACCCTAAAGGCCAAGGGGCCTGGCCTAGGTAAGACCCTCTGCAGGCAGGTCGTGGGCAGGGCCTATTGGCTTCCTGATGGCTTTGCTTCTGCTTTCTATACAGACACACCCTTTTATGCCATATCCTCTCTTCTGGCAGCCATGCCAAGTCAGCTTGGGCTGCATTCTCCAAAAGCATCTCTTCCTCATTACCAGGATTGGACTCCAGCTTCCTAAGCCTCAGTTCTACCCAGGTATCTTGTGCCAGGAGAAGGAGCACCATGTGGGCGTGCCAGTTGATATTGGGGCCATGCTTGAGGAAGTGGGAAGAGCCAACCTTGACCTTGGCCCTGACCTCCCCAGAAAGAGCTGCGTTGTGGTCAGCTCATTTTCTACATGATCCGGGTCCACCCCAGAAACCCCACTCGAATGTACTGTATTAGAGACAGGGGGAAAGGGGATCAATTGGCCTCTCCAGCTATATCACCACCCACTGCAGTATAAAGGAGGAAGCTGACAACTATCCATATTACACACACTTTTGACAAAGAGATTGAGTGTGTGGAATGATGCCAGGTTGGCACAGCCTCACATAGCCTCCCCCCTGCACGTGCAGGACAGCACCAGCTAAGAGCTTAGACTTTTCCATCCCTGTTCTGGGTCCAGACACACCAGAACATCTAAACTAAAGTGCTTGGAACAATCCAGATAAGGCCAAAGCAAAGCTCACAGACAAGGTGGTCACTGTCACACAGTGAACATTGGTGACACCCAGACTAGCTCCAGCACCCCAGCCACCTGGGATGATCCCCAAAGTATTCTCAATCCTGCCTCATGCCAGGTGGGAGAGTCCTACTGCATGTCTTGCCTCCTGTATTACAGCAAAACTTTCACTCTGCAACTTGTGGTTCAAAAACAGTGTTCAAGAGGGAGACCAAGGAAGACGGCAGAGCAGGAAGCCCAGGAACCTGTCCCTCCTCTGGACAACAGTTGAACTAAAACAAACAGTCTTCAACCAACCAAGAATCAAATACAGCATTTAGGAAAAAAATGTACTGAACATGAACACACTTTTTTTCTTGTCATCATTCCCTAAACAATACAGAATAACAATTTACATAGCTTGGACATTGTATTAGTTATGATAAGTAATCTAAAGGTGATATAGAGTCTATGGCAGGATCTGCATTAGTTATATGCAAATACTCTGCCATTTTATACAAGGGATTTAAGCATCATAGATTTTTTGGGGGGGGGTCCTGGGGATCGAGCTCAGATCCTTGCACTTGCATAGCAGGTGGCAAAACCACTGAGCTAAATCCCCGGCCCATCATCATAGATTTTTGTACCCTGCAGGTATCAAAGGACAGCTGTATTTTGGAACTCTGGAATCTAATAGACCACTTATAGCATCCAGGTTGCAGCTTGATGAAGTTCTACAATTTTAGTTAATATTGGTCAATAGCTACCTTTATGGGAATAGTTATCATCCCTTGTCCCCCTACCCAGCAGAAGCAGCTATGGGGATGGTGGCTGTTATTCCAAGTTGATAGCAACATTAATCAAATAGCCAAAATACATAAACAACTCAGATGTCCATCAATGAACAAATGAGTAAACAAAATATGGTCCATCTATACAATCAAATATTATTCAGCTTTGAAAAGGGAATGGGTGAAACCTGAACATGTCATGGCATGGATGAACCTTAAAAATATTATGCTAAATGAAAAGGCCACCTGGTGTATGATTCCATATACAGAATGTGAAGTGTTCAGAATAAAGAAATCCACAGAGAAATCTCATAGATACAAATTCATAGAGCACATTGTTGCCTGGAAATGAGGGTCTTGGAGGAATGAAAGTGATGGCTAATGAGTGTGGAGTTTTTTCAGGTAGGAAAATATTCTGGGACTAGATAGCAACGATGTTTGCCCAGTCTTGTAAATACAGTCATCCCCTCAGCATCCTGGAAAATGCTTTATGAATACCAAAATTGGCAGATGCTCAGATTCCCTATATGCATGGAATTTGCATATAGCCTGTCTTAGTTACTTTTCTCGTTGCTGAGATAAAATACCAGACACTCAAAGTTAAAGGAAGAAAGGTTTATTTGGCTTACAGTTTGTAGAGATTTCAGTCCATAGTTGACTGGCTCCAAGGTAGGGTGGCATGGCAGAGGGGCATTGCAGAGGAGAAACAGCTCATGGTGGGCAGAAGTCAGCAAAAGCAAGCAACCAGTGACATGCCATGACCACAGCTCTTTTTTCCATATATATATATATTTTTTTTTTAAATTCTTTTATTGGTACATTTTAGGTATACAATACATTTACATTTCTCATTGGGAATTGTACCTTTACATGATGCATCTTGGTTCTTATTTTTTTCCCTATTCCCAGCCCTCCCTTCACCCCCTCCACCCTTCCCTATTTACAAAGACTTTGTTTCCATTTTTTCCATTTCTCATAATTTTTCCTTTCCCTCTTTCCTTTCCCCTGCCCCTCCCTCTCCTCCTACCCCTTTGGACCTTTTCTTCCTATTTTGCATTATCAATTATTCATTCTAACCATTGGTACATTTTAGGTATACAATATAATGACATTAATCGTTGGAAATTTGCATCTTTACATAATCTCTCTTGGTTCTTATTTTTCCCCCTTCCCCGTCCTCCCTTCAATCCTTCCATCCCTCCCTATTTACAAAGACTTTGTTTCCATTTTCTCATATTAATTCCATTCCCTTCTTTCCTTTCCCCTACCCCTCCCACTTCCCCTTTCCCTTTGCCCCCTTTCTTCCTATTTCACATTATCTATTATACCTTTTAGTCCTTATTTACACTTTCATTTTCTTACACTAGAGAAACTATTTGGTATTTATACATGTGTGTCCTATTTATTTCACTTAAGAGTATTGCCTCAATGTGCATCCATTTAGCTATAAATGTCTCTAATTTCTCATTTTTTATGGCTGAGTAGTACTCCATTTTATTTTTTTAAAAAACCACACTTTCTTTATCCAGTCTCCAGTTGACTCTTATATCTTCAGTTAGTTGAATGCACTGATTCAGATCTGTGGATAAGGAGGGATGGATGTACAATAAAAACCATTCAATAGTGCCCTTGAAAATGGGTGAATTATATGGCATATCATTTGTATCTCAACAAAGCTGTTTTATTTACTTTTTTAAAAAAACAAAGGTTCAAAGTTGGAATATTTACATCCAGAAAGTCCATAGCCAGGTGAGGCCAGCTGAACACAGCAATAAATGAAACACCTGAGCTTCAAAGGCACTCCATAAACACTAAGAAGCTGGATCTGCCAGGAACCCTTGGTGGGTGGGCCCCTGCAATGCCAGCTAATGACCCATTTTGGAAGAAAGATAGCCCCCAGTGTCAGAAGATCCTGGTGGGAGTCAGGAGTTGGGTCCTCCTGAATGGGGACTAGGTGGAGGTGAGCCCTGGGGGTGGAGGGAGAGGCTACTTTCCTCTGGTTCCCAAGGCAGAGGCAGATTGAAGAACCAGACTTGGGCACACAGCAAGAGCCTTACTGCTGACACCCCCATCCTCACCCAGGTTGAGCCAGTCACCAGAACAACCAGGGCTCCCAAGGAGGAAGCAGCCAGGGGACAGAACTTAGATGGCAAAGGGACCACCATGCTACCACCCAGCCAACTCAGGACCCTTACAGATCCCTTGGTGGGCAGATAAAATGGTTGATTGTGACATGAGCTCTGTCAAACTTTGCCATGTGCCTCTTGCCTATATTTCCTGAAATAGTTGTCTGTCTTCCTGAGTCATGGCTCCCTGCTCTGCACATTCTGATTTGTGGCATTTCACTGCTTGCTCTGTTCCCACTTCTACTGATATATGTGCTCTGTCTGCATACAGAGGAATGCATTCACATTTGTTTAATTTGGGGCTTGTCTTCCTATTATCTGCCTGCACCAAACTGAGGCCCGTATTTGCTTTCCTTGCACGTCGTAAATCCCCTCATCAGCACGTTATCCCGTTACCCACTCCATGCCAGTGATCATACATCCTACTCGAGTTCTATTTAGCTATGTCATTTTATTCTTTTATTTCAGAGCTAATAAAATATGATTGCATTTCTTTAGGTTAAGATTGTCTGCTGGATCACAGAGCATGCCACTATGTTTACGTGGATGCCATCATGCTTTGCCACTTCATATAATTACTTTCAATATTCATACGAGAGAAAGTATCTAAATTTCCCCTCTAGATTCTTTCCTTGTAAAATCAAGGTGTATTCTGACTGCTGATAATGTTTACAACTTTCCCAGGCAAGAGATACAACTACTGTTTTGTTTTATGTAGAGGAAACTGAGGATCAGAGAGGAGACACAACTTGATCTAGTGCTCAGAGCAAGATGTAAAGCCAAGGTCACTGTCCTCAGATTTTTACCTTTTCCAAGTGTCAGGTATGTGCTAGACTCACAAAACCCACTCCCCTCTCAAGGTGGCCAGCTTCTTCCTGTGGCCTGTAGGTTGGGGAGGCAGGAATGTAGGAGTCCCGTACAGCCACAGCCAAAAGGAACCGAGGCCCTAGGCTATAGGAGACACAGACTCGAGGCCAGAGAAACATGTGCATCTTTGTGGTTGATGAAGGAGATTCTGTGTGTGGAGAGGAAGAAAGCTTGGGGTACAAGAGGTCTTTATTGGGTACAGCAGGTTTGCAAGGGGGGAAGATGATGATAACATGATGATATTGACCTCAGTGCTGATCCCAGTTCTTATGTCCTGGCCACAGCTCCACAAAAGAGCACATGAACTGCAGAGGGAAGTCACTGGTTCAGATTGTGTTTGGGACTTCTTCCACGGGGAAAAGAGAAGACTAATACCTACGCCCTGCGGTTGTTGCCAAGATGTGGCATTCACTGAACTTGTTCCACCCAGCATCTGACTTTCACTCAGCACCCAATACACCAGAGCTGTGATCTCACTGCCTAAATGGGGGACTGGAAAGACTGTAGAAAAGCCTCAGGACACCCGGTCTCGTGGCAGGCTGAGCGGGAACCCTGGGGAAATCTGGCTGCTGCCTTGGAGAAGTTGAGGCAGGGCTTGAAAAGAACAGGTTACAGACAGGGCCTACCCTATTTTGAAGGGGATGTCTTTGCTGGCATCAATCCTGGTGGTCATGATGTGGCTGTGCCCTCTAGAGCCTTCCTGCAGGGTGGCTGGTGACCCTGTTGGCAGTGGAGGTGAGGTAAGAGGTGGTAGGTTCCCAGGGACCTATAGGTCCTGGGAAGAATGTCAGAGGCACAGGCCTTCCAGTTTGGTCTCCCTGCAGCCTCTCCCGGGGGCACACACGCTCACACACACACACTTTGTGGGGCCTGGCCTGTTCAGACCTAGGTGGGATTCCTGAGGATATGCCACACAGGCTCCTCTGGGTTCCACCAGAAACCAGGATGCTCCGTGACGCTGAACCAGCAGCCAGGATGCACTGTCCCCCCACCTGACCATATCTTCTCTGCTTTAGCCCATTCGAGTGCTTGTGGGTGTCTGGGTAAGCCAGGGGGTACCCTGGATTCCTCCCCCAGGAGCAGGGCCTGGCCACTCCATGAGGCCCACTTGGCCTCTCCCTAAGGTTTTGGGGAAGGGGGGGTACTGGCTATGGCTGCTGGGCGGTGGTCAACAGGGGTTTCCCAGGAGGGTGGCCAGGACAGAGGCTTGTTACTTCATATACTTCTGTCTACTTTGAGCTTTTTATCTCAAAAAGCATTTGTGACTTTTGTGATACCAAAAGGATTGTTTTACATGTTTAAATAGTAGCCCCATATTAAAAAAACAAAAAACAAAAAGCCTGAGTGATGCCTTTTGACTGTGGCCTCTAGCCAGCCTGAGTCAGGGTAATAAAAACAAGCCTTTCCCAGCCCTGGGCAAAGGTGGAAATGGTCCTGTCCCTGCCGGGTGTCTTACCAGATGAGAGCTGCCCAGCTCCTCAGCCATAGTAGTCCCTTCCCCTAGGTGGGAAGTTCATGATGTGCAGTTGTGAGCTTGCCTACCGACCCCAGGTCCTGGTCTGGCCTGGACTTTTGTGCCCAGCCAGCCACCTTGAGCTGGCTGTGCCTCCCAGGCACCCACTCAGGAGCTGGGGGTTTCCCAGAGTGGGAACAGCTGAGATGAG